TTATTTTAAGTATAATTTAATTTAATTATTATAATTATAATATTTATAATAAATTATATTATATATTATATTATATATTAAATCAAAAACTAATATTTAATATTGCTTAATATTAAATATATATATTTGATATCGTTATTATTTATATTCATTGGTAATTGATTATTAATATTTCTATTAATAATTATTAATTATTAATGAATTAATAATAATTATTTTTTATTATTATTTACAATAATAAAAATTATTTACAAATAATAAAAATTATTTATAAATAATAAAAATTATTTGTAAATAATAGAAAATGATAAAAAATAATTTTTATCAATTAATCAATAATAATCAGTAGGATATTAATAATTAATTATTATAAATATAATTAATAATTAATTTCTAATTGTATAAATTTGCTAATGATAAAATAATATTAACATTTTTAATAAGAAACTACCTTTAATATTAAATATCCTTACTAATTATTATTAATTATAAATTAATTGATAATAATCATTTTTTTATTATTGTTTACAAATAATAAAAATTATTTGTAAATAATAGAAAATAATTTCTATTATTTATAAATAATAATAAAATAATAATTATTATTAATTATTCAATAATTAATAATAATCAGTGGGAGTATTGGTAATTGATTACCAATAAATATGATTGGTAATCAATTTTAATTGTATCAGAAATTTGTTAATAATAGTATGATAAACTTAGTTTGGCAATGTGTATAATATAATTTTTTAACAATAATGATAACTGATATTTTCTTAATGAGAAACTCATCTTTAATATTAAATATTGTTCTCCAGGTTGGTTACAATAAAAAAATTAAAAGTCAAGTTAGTTTAATTTCAAAAAATAGATGAAAAAATAAAAATGAGGTTAAATAATTGCGATTATTTTAATGAATAAAATTCACTTTCTTTGATTTTCAATAATTCTTCAATGACAAGATATTTGAATCTCATTATTTTCTTCATGTTCCGTTTATATAGTGAGTTACTGTATATAAAAGATCAAAATCACAATATCATGCATTCATTTGGGATTTCGTTTGTCAGACATATAAATTGTCGTGATTGTGTTTTTCAGTATGTTAAAATATCACAATTTAGTGTTTTATTTATAAAGTATCCCTCTTACTAAGTATCCCTCTTCTATAATATTCTCTTTCTCACATAGTACCCTCAGATACTATTCAAGTTAGTCTGGACTTTCTTGAATAGGCCAGGGGTACTGTAGTAAGTGCTATACGATACATAATTTACAGTCAACTCTCGATATAGTAAAGTTGAGCGAATTTTTGAAAATTTTTCACTAATAGTCCGAACATCTTCATTATAACGAGACTTGACTGTACTTGGTTTCATAAGTAAGCATTAGACTATATGAATTGACCTTCATAAGTGTACACCAGGGACCATATCATCAATCAGACGTGAGTGTGCATTTATAGAGAGTAAATATTTATAAGTTCGGAACTGAGCAAAAATGCGTATTTAGGGGAGGTTTATACATTTATAGAGGGTGCATTTAGTTTCATTATGTTTATAATGTTATGTTTCCTACTAATATTTGTATTAGTTATCAAATGTCTGTGAGGCTATCGTAATTTGCTATTTAGAATACCTCCCTCATAATATCATACCCCCCATGATTGTACCCGGTCCGATGCATGGTTTACAAAGTGAGTAGAATGTAACGTACTCCCCTTGTAATTCTGGTCAAATATAGGATAATTCTGGCTGAAACTATCATTTCTATATAGAACATCTCCACCATATAATATACCCTCCTGCCGTACAGTGTACTCCCCCGGGTACAAATCGATTTTAGCTGGTGAAATGGGGTATTCTAAATGGCAAATTACAGTACACTGATATTTCTATTGATAGTGATATTTTCTGGATAATGTGTACTGCCGAATACTTTGCATTTTCAGCTCTACAGCTCTTTTGAGTGTATCAAACTTGAAATAGAGAAACTAAAAGAACTTGATAGAGAGATGGAATTGCAAAAAAGTATTCCTACGAACATAAATAAACAACAAATCCACTCAAATGCAGTTTACACCAGTCGAAACTTTACTACGAAATTAATTTCAATTCCAACTGATACAGGTACTTTTTGTTCAAATATAAATGTTGACTTTTCACGTTAATTAAATTCATATCGAATTCTAGAAATGTCAAGTGTCAGATTTTTTGTTCCAAACGAAGGTAAAATCGTTTGATATAATATTTTTATTCAAATATATGTTTGCATACAACTCTAGAATATGTGACTACTGAGTATGATATAGATATTAATGCTGAATCTAGAAGTGTCGGTTTGTATCTTCAAAAGAAAATAAATGAAGGTAGATATTATTTGTTATACCACGACTTTGATTGTATATTTATTTATGTCTTGTTATATAGTGTTAACATATCGATATGTCTCACGAGAATTTAACATTAATGTTGAGAATGAAAAAGATTCCCGAAAGAATATCCAAACACAAAGTAAGTTTCTCGTTGACAACAACGCAACGGAGTCCCAACGTTTTAAATATTTTTTAATCTTTAATAAAAACTAGATTTTAAAGAGCATAAAACGAACCGCAAACGTCCTATTGAATATGTGTCGGAAGAAACAAATAAAAGAGAAAGATTTTATTTTTATTAAATTATGACAATAGTGATAATATTTTATCTATTTTCAATAACGTTAAAAAGAATTTTTTCTCATTTGTTTTTTTTTATGTTATTGTTATTCAATTACTTACTTAACACATAAATCGACTTCCACGCATATAAATGATTATTATCCTATTTATTTTACTATTATTCAAAAATGTTTTATAAACTGCGTAAACTCAGAGATAATTCTAAATTTTGAATACATGTACTTATCATTGTAATATAATAACGTTATACCGATTCGTATATCGGTATCAATTTGAGTGAATTTTACATTCAATCATAGCAAGATGCTATAACACTGACTAAAAATAATTTTCGAAAATAAAATATACCATTAAATAGAGCAGGTTTTGCTGTTTCTAAGCATATAAAATTATTTAGCATTAACATGTAAATTTTCTTAGAAGTATCAATTAAAGTTTTGAATAAATAAATGTTAGATTTTGTTAAAGAAGAATTCTTGTACTTCTAGTGAAACAATTTTAATAAACAAAAAAATATTTCAGTCATTGGTTGTGCGTTTAATTCTCGCTATCATTATCGTTATTGTCGATTAAATAATCACTGATCTTGTCCCGATACTTTTCGTTTTGGCAGGCTGGTGTATATTCTCTTGAAAGTCACATCGCAAAAATCATTATCTTTATTGGCAAACTTATTGAGAAATTACACCAAGAAAATGGTAGTGACAGTAATGTCAATAAATATAAATGGAAACAAAAACAGCAAAAGTCGAATAATAATGATATTTGTTATTTTTTCATTGATTAGCGTTAGTACGTGGAATGAGTGCAATAGAGATATATAAATTGCATTAGAATTTATAATATAATTTACACCGTTTCTACTGCACTTAACCCACATGTCAAAAATGTCTGGTACATGTATCGGTTATTTCAGCAGTGTACAGTACAGTCAGACCTCCCTAAGAGCAACCCCTCTAAGTGCAATTATTCTCTAAATGCACGTTCTAATTTGGCCCCAACTTATAAGGCATATATGTATTTTTACCCCCATAAATGCAATACTTCTCTAAGTGCAAGTTTTTGTATGGTTCCGACGAGTTGCACTTAGGGAGGTCTGACTGTACCCCAAAAAAAGTATCGCCCGATTTAAAATTATACAGTAAAATACATATAAAAAAATTTTGTTGATTTTATAATTAAGACAGTTCTTTCATTTTAAAAGTTCCATTTTTCAAAAATACAATTGATTAGCTTTAAAATGATATAAAATTTAGCAATAATTATTAATAGAAATATAGATATATATATATATATATGAAGCGTGGGGGAGGAATTTTTTTACTTTCCAATCAAAATAGTCCTTACATTTTAAGTTGCCACAAGTCTTGTATATTTTTTCAAAATACAATCAATTATCAAAATGATATAAATTTAGATATATACATAGCTTGAAAATTTACATTTTTTATATGTTTTATTATATAATTTTGGACCGGGCGATACTTTTTGGGGGTACATTATAATTTGTATTTACAGTACATGTAATTATAATTATAATGATAACGATGAGTTTAAATAATAATAATTATCGAAATTTGTTTTTTTATTAACAATAAACGACTAGATTAATTTAAAATAATGGTGAACATACGTCTAGGTACTCATTAATTCTGTTACAACTAAGTTCTGCCATCAAAATTGAATTGGGAGACCAGTTCTGTATTTCAGATATACGTATCTTGTCGGTCAAGATCGATGCACAGTATACGTGAATATTGATATTGTTTATTCGAATAGCTGAAACGATAATTCGAATAAAATATTGTATTCACGTTCAAAGGTCTTATTCGTAAATAACACTTATTCGAATCCAAACTCTTAAGGCACATTATGCTTTTTTCTAATAAACACAGTTAATTGAGATACGTATAAGAGAAATCCGGCTGGATTAATGAGTCACTGCATTATCAAATAATTTTTTATGATGTTTTCTTGTTCTGTAATAAATATAAATATATTTTCATTTAACTAATTTTATTAAAATATGAACTAGTACCAATAAGAACAGTGAAACCTCCCTCAGTACTCTATAAATGCACACACTATATAAGCCCTCCCTAAATGCACATTCCAACCTTATGACCATTAAACATCTACTCTATAAATGCACATTCATATCTGATTAGTTATATGGTCACTTAGGATGGTTTCACTCTATTGCAAACTTCAATTAGTGTATAATATGGATAAAATTACCGATTTCTAACATTTTGACAAAAGTTAATTTTTTAGATTTTAATAGACCATCTACATAAGAAAAAATAAATACCTTCAACAATTACCAGTTATACCAAACATATAAATCATTAGAAAAAATACTATCCAAAGTGCGTCTAATATTTGGCTGCCCATTTCTCATAGCACATATTCCAAACCGTATAGCACTATGAACATCGCGATTCACACCATTTCCCTTATGATACCGGCCGGCCAACACAAACTGTGCCAATCCATCATCATGGGACGCGGCACGACGGTACCAATAAGTAGCCTTCAATTGATTCACCACGGTCCCATATCCATTTCGGTAACAAAATCCGACATTATATTCTGCCATAGAATTATATACTTTGGCTGCTTCTTTAAACCAATGCAATGCTAACTCGTTCGAGGGTGAAACGCCGATTCCTTTTATGTAGCAGTATCCCAAATTGTACTGTCCTGATGTGAATCCGAGTGCTGCAGACTCGTTTGCCCAGTTGAACGCTTCTTGATTGTCAATTTTCGCGCCACCGGTTCCGTCTCTGTAATTTCGTGCTAGAAAGTTTCTAGCGTATTTGTTGTTGCCACAGTCGTTTGCATGGTGGTAGTAGTCTTTTGGCAAGTCGAATAGTTCGGATGATGAAGGATTTTTGAAACCGAATTCTTTACAGAATCCGTATAGACAGACTAGATTGGAATGAGCAGAATCGTCGTAATAGGTGTTGTCATCTCCACTGTTGAGGATTTCATTGCAAAGTTTTTGCATAAAATCAACTTCGTTGCTTTTATTCAATTTGATTGCTTTGGTTATAATTTCTGGAAGAAGTTTAAAATAAGTTCCTCGATCAAGTGCTTTGTAAAATGCTGTAGAAACATTTTCTATTAATTGTTTATTGCTGTTGTCTTGTTCATTTGTATTTTTAATATTATTGTTATGAGTAAGATTATTGTTATTATTCGTATTGTTCATTTTTTGAATAAATGTAAATAAGAACTGTAAATTGAAATGGATACTTAAATTGGAGATGTCTAACAGTACAGATAATAAATTAGGCAAACAATAATTCTAATGTAACTCTACACTTCTAGTGCATTTTTAAAAATGCGCCAAATTCTATTTTTAGAAATTTAATGACGATACATTTCATTTTTTGGTCGATTATATGTAGTTGGATTTATTTGTGTTTTATTTCATATGTCAGCATATATCTCACGAAGGTTTGATATTATTAATATTGATATTGATATTGATATTGATATCGAGAATGATGGAAAAAAAGCTTAACCATAAGTTCACCATCCAAATACAATACAAATTATTTTTTGATTTTTTTAACAAAAACTAATTCAAAGCTCATAAAAGAACAGTAAGCGTCCTATTGAAATGTATCGAAAGCATTAAATAAATGGGGCAAATATTTCATTATTAAATCAAGACAACAGTGATAATATTTTACCTATTGTCAATCAAGATGAAACTGAAATAAGCAAAGAATTATAAAGCTTAAAAATAATCTAAGCTTCAATGCTTTTTACAGGTAATTCACTACTAAAGTCAAAGTTTGTGCTAAGCTCCATATGTTTCGACGAACATTTATATTTATATTATAGTTTCATGTAGAATTATAAGGTGGTATCCGGATTCTAATGAATCACAAAACCCAGCGCCTTATTTGGTATAAAAAATCACACAGGATTTTGTCCTTGAATGTCTCCACCTTTAGGACCGTTTCCTGAGCATTCTGAGAAGCATCTGTTCTGGCGTTTAGCAATTGCTTCTGATAGAGTTTTATTAGAGTTTATAAAAAAACATCAATGAATTGATAGCTATTTAAGTTACCTCGCAATCGTAATAGACAATGAGTTCGCAAAAAATTTATATACATGAACAATGTCGTCAAGACGAGGAAGCCAAATTTTATGCGGTGCATGTTTTCAATTCAGATTTGACTTTGAAATCAGTGCTATTTCTTGATATTCGAAATTTCCTCCACTAGCCTCTTTATTTATAAATATAATAAAATAAAATACATAGCGATAGAATGAATTTTTTATGAAACTACGTACATAATAATGCCCATCAACTTCCAAATATAGATAAAATTGCCATATCGATATGCCGTGATGTTTTGCATAGTACATGTACATGTACATGTACATGTATACTCTATTAGAGTTCGTTTAACGTGAATGCATCAAGTGTTCTTTTAGAACTCCTAAGCTCATTTGTGACCATATACATGTATAATTTAATAAAGCTACCATTTGCCGGCAAATTCCTTCCTTAAATCTACTGAGAATAGATCTAGTCCTTTTATAGCTGTGACCCAAATCAAGGTCTCAAATTTTCTCTATTTGGCTCTTTAATACGAAAATTATGTATAAAGATAAGCCTTTTATTATTTAGATCATATTGATATGTATGTGGATGAGATCAAAAATTCTCTTCATCAAATTTTTAAGTGTAGTGCGAAAAATTTAAAGACATCCAATATTTTGACTATTTTTTATAATGCAAAGGATTTTTTATTGAACTTTAAATGTAAAAAAAATACGTCATTTAATAGTTTTGTTAATTAAATAGTTTTGATAAGTGCTATCAAGTAACATATTTAATTTTAAATTTTATATATTTTTTATTGAGGAGATACAATTTTAAATATTTAAAAATTTCAGCATTAACGTTAATATAAAATTAATCATACGTAATAAATCTGACCAATCATATTCAATTTATAAGTAATGATCTGCAAAATTTTCTGCGCCTTTAATGTGACTAAGATAAGCTATTGATTAGTTATCTCCTGGGAACCAATCCCGTGAGATTATTTATTTTTTCTGTTCGACTATCATTTCCACTCCTCATCGATTGAGTCGATTGAGTTGATAAAGATGATAAAGTTGCGAAGTTCCTCAGCAGTTGGTCTGTTTTCTGGAATAGGATCCCAACATTTTTCAATAATAAATTTGCACCATCCGGGAATATTATTTCGGATTGTAGGTCGTTCTCCTTTATAGATATCAAATACGAGATATATGTCATGACTTTGTTCTCCAAATGGTCGTTCACTTGTGGCAATCTCGTACATAATCATCCCAAAGCTATAAATATCTGCTGCTTTAGTATATGGCTTTCCATTTAGTAAGTTTATACATGTAAAACGTTTTTGAAATAATAGTAAAATAAATAGGATAATAATGATTTATATGCGTGGAAATCGATTTCTGTGTTAAGTAATTGAATAACATAACATAACATAAAATTAACAAATGAGAAAAAATTCTTTTTAAAATAGATAAAATATTATCACTATTGTCATAATTTAATAAAAATAATATCTTTCTCTTTTATTTGATTCTTCCGACACATATTCAATAGGACGTTTGCGGTTCGTTTTATGCTCTTTAAAGTCTAGTTTTTGTTAAAAAAATAGTATACAATATTTAAAACGTTGGGACTCCGTTATTGTCAACGAGAAACTTACTTTGTGTTTGGATATTCTTTCGGGAATCTTTTCCATCATTCTCAACATCAATATCAAACTCTCGTGAGACATAGCGATATGCTAACATTATAAAATAAGACATAAATATACAATCAAAGTCGTGTATAACAAATAATATCTACCTTCATTTGTTTTCTTTTGAAGATACAAACTGACACTTCTAGATTCAGCATTAATATCTATATCATACTCAGTAGTCACATATTCTAGAGTTGTATGCAAACAAATATTTTTAATATATTTGAATAAAAATATTATATCAAACGATTTTACCTTCGTTTGGAACAAAAAAACTGACACTTGACATTCCTAGAATTCGATATGAATTTTAATTAACGTGAAAAGTGAACATGATTTATATTTAAAAACAAAAATAACCTGTATCTGTTGGAATTGAAATTAATTTCGTAGTAAAGATTCGACTGGTGTAAACTGCATTTGAGTGAATTTGTTGTTTGTTTATGTTCGTAGGAATACTTTTTTGCAATTCCATCTCTCTATCAAGTTCTTTTAGTTTCCCTATTTCAAGTTTGATACACTCAATAATTTCTTCGCGTGTTTTATGATATTCTAAAGAGCTGTAGTGCTGAAGATGCAAAGTATTCGGTTTCCACTCCTCATCGATTGAGTCGATTGAGTTGATAAAGCTGATAAAGTTGCGAAGTTCCTCAGCAGTTGGTCTGTTTTCTGGAATAGGATCCCAACATTTTTCAATAATAAATTTGCACCATCCGGGAATATTATTTGGGATTGTAGGTCGTTCTCCTTTATAGATATCAAATACGAGATGTATGTCATGACTTCGTTCTCCAAATGGTCGTTCACTTGTGGCAATCTCGTACGTAATCATCCCAAAGCTATAAATATCTGCTGCTTTAGTATATGGCTTTCCATTTAGTACCTCTGGACTCATATAAGGAAGTACTCCGCAAATTTCTTGATTAGCTTTATTTAAATTAGCTGGTTTGCTAAGTCCAAAATCAGCAATAAAACCTATCGATCTCGATATTAATATATTTCCAGGGTGAAAGTCACAATGCACAAACGCCTCATTATGAATGTTATTCAACCCATCAATGATCAGATATAAAAATTGTAATCTTCGTTCCCAAGTTAATTTTTGGTGGTTGGTATTCATATATTTGCGTAGATCGCCATCTTTTGCATAATCCATCACTAACGAGTGTTCATTCGTAGCTGGATTTTTAGTTATTCCATAATAATTTATTACATAACCCCAACTGAACTTTAGAGCAGTCTGAATCTAATTTTGAAAAAGTTGATTAAATTGAAAAACAAAAAAGCGATATGTTTACACTTTAAAAGGTATTCATTTTACCTCGTTTATAAACTCGGACGTAATTTGCTTGGAATTGTGTAATGATTTCAACACAACTTCGTACTTATTACGTCGTTTAAATTTATTTTCTTTATGATCCCACTTGGGATATTCTAATGGTCCGTCCAACCAGATTGCTTTATAAATTGATCCAAAACCTCCTTTTGCAAGATATTCAACATTGGTAAATCTTTCAAAAGGGATCCATTCGAAATATCTACTTATCGCTATACTATTTTCATTAGCAATTCTGTTGCATTCATTTATTAGACAGTCAATATCTTTATTTCCACTAGACCATTCAACATAAATTCGTTTGTGATATAGAAAACATCCAATACAGTTCTCATATTTTTGACATTTGGTACATTTACTACAATCATGAGTATTCGAAGTTTTAGATGCCATCTTTGAGCTTATTGCATAGTGATTATGGCAATGGTTTATTTATGTATATGTGTGTTCGCTTCCGTTTGTACATGCATTTGTAATCGATTTATGCATGAAAAATGACACAGAAACACACCACGTCCGCAACATGCATTAAACGATGGCAAATAAATGAGATACCGAAGTAGGGATTGGAACCGTGTCTAAAAACTTTACTCGGGTTAAGCAAAATTCACAAATATAATGTCGGCTATTGAAGTTAACATATCGATGTGGTTGGACGCGAACTTAATAATAAATAAGAATTAATTAAGCTCTAATTTAGAATTTAAATCCTATATAGCATATATAAAACCGGGTTAGCACACCCGGTTATCAGACCTGGTGTATTATTTCGGGTGACACAAGCGCACCGCAGTTTGGAGACTGGTGCGCAGATAAAAAATTCAATAATATGAGGCATTGATATTACGTATATAATTTTAAACACTGGGTGACACGGTTGGAAAAATCTTAACCCGAGTGAATCGTGAAACTCGGTTTGATCCGGGTGAACTAAATCAATCTCTAATAAGAAGAAACATTATCGATAACGATAATAATTAAAAGCCAACCAATGGCTCAAATTTAATAAACTTTTTTTATTGAATTCCTCCAGTCCTAAGCTTCCAGAAAATATTTTGTTATAAACTAAATTTAGTAGATGTGCAGAAATTTATATTTGAAAAAAATTATCATTTATTTATTCAACAAGTTTTACATCGTTATGCTGTTTTCGATTTAGTACGATCAGTACAATTTTTGTTTGAATTTTTACATCGATACCGATAATACGATTATAACGATTATACATGTATAAATTAACCAATAGAATCCTCTAATGAGATGATAATTAAAAGAATTCTATTTGTTAATTTATACTTATGGTTCGACTTCATTAATATTATCCATCCTTCTAATAATGCAAAAAATTCATTTTTGGTCTTGATTTCTGTTTTCTCACTTTTTTCCTAACTCACACTATAAATTTCAATGGGAATAAATTCTGAAATTTGAGTGATTAGCTAATTATCATTATGCCAATATGCCAAATTGTAGTTAGATCTAAACAGAAAAAAATGCATTATCACCAATAAACGTAATGGTTGGAATAATATACAGACAAACCTCCCTAAATGCACCCTCTATAAGTGCACATCCTCTCTAAATGCACAGTATGGCTGGGTCCGAGCTCATAAGAGCTCTTTATATTTTGCCCTCTATAAATACACACCCTCTCTAAATGCACGATTTACTATGGTCCCAAGGGGGTGCATTTAGGGAGGTTTGTCTGTATATATTTAGTATTTGATGAATCAGTAAGTCCTAAATCTGCAATTTGGGCAATATCATGCAATAATATATTTCCAGGGTAAGGTATCCTAGGTCATACTTCTTTATAGATGTCGTATACAATATACACATTTCGACCCCGCTCATCAAACTATAAATATTTAGGTGCATGGCTTTCCATTTAGCACCTTTGAACTCGTAAGAAAGTACTCCAGAAATTTCTGATTTTTCTATCTGTGGACAATATAAGCACCATAATTTATTAGTATCTTTCCAATGTGAAAGTCACAATTTTACGTAAACTAGTAACTAATGAATCCAATTCAATTATTGTAATTGGAATTACGTAGTTATTCATAATGGAAACATTTTATAGAGCAGAATCTATATTCTTAAAGATGCTTTTTATTGCTAATCCAGACAACTTTTTCGTTTATAAACTCCGACGTAATTTACTCGAATCATTCGATTCATGATCCCTCTCGTATTTGTGAAAAAATGCTTTATAATTGTTCCATCTCCCTTTACGAGTAATCTTTCAAATGGAATCCATTCGAAATTAATCCTTAGACTGTCGATCTTTTTACGTTTGCTAGCTCATTCAGCTTTATAAATTTGTTTGTGATAATAAAAACAATGCTCTGCAGTAAATTTTTTTCTTTGAATATTCATCGCAGTAGGAATTGTATCATATTGGATACATTGACTAAAAACATGATTTAGCTTCCATCTTATTTAAAAACATACGATAACGATAAAATTACAAGTCGACTCTACATATAAAATTTTGCTCATGATCTGGTGATCTCGTCAGAATGATAGATTTTTTAGCCAGTTAAATATCAAATTCGCAATATGATAACCATAGTCGGAACGCATCCCACTGCTGGTTCATGGGCTCTGCGCAAGAGCCTGGGTGAGATGGCGTTGGGATCTTCGTGAGAATTTTGTGTCTTTTTGCAATAAGGATCGACAGTAACATTTTATATCAACCTGTTTTCTTGAAAGGTAACAAAAAATTCTTTGAAGATCATACGAAAATGAAATGCTTTTTATAACAAAATAAAATGTTTTTGAAGATATAACAAAAATGAATGTTAAAAAATTGTATTTGCAAGATTATATCTATTTATTTCATTCAATTATATAATAAAGTTGAGAAAAAATTTTATTGATAGTGCCTTTGATTAGGTCATCATATCCCTGAAATATCAGTACTTGATGTGATCTCTCCGTGTCAATGCAAGTTTGAATAAAATTTAATGGTCTAAAAATTTTGTAACTTGAACGTTTTTAACTAAACCCTCCCAAAAAAAAATCGCAAGAATTCGATGTATATTATTCTGATTAAAATGAAACTACTACCAAAATGTTCGTCTTATTGAGACAAATTTAATAAAACCAAAACTACAAAAGTCTGATAACTGGTTATTGAGAAAATAAGTTTTGAAAATTTACAAACTTGAAATCAGGAAAATGACTTGCCATGATGCGCTCCTATTAGATTTTCGCAAATTCATCACATATTGAATTTTTTTTAATTGTTATTATCTTTCTGGAAATCTAGTACTTTATTTATATTTTGCTTCTAAAAATGCTAGTATTATAGTAAAATTTACACTGTAACTACCCCTTAATCAATCTTCAAACAGACATTCATCTATTTATTCACATATTCAAAGTTAAAATGGGTAACCAACCAAAACGACGAGGCTATAACGAAACTGCCAGTACAAGTTCTGATGAATATCGGCCAAGTCCAACAGACTGAGTTATCGTTACGTGGGCGACCAAAAAGCTCATCAAGATTTCCTTATGACACGAAACAAAAAAAAAAATCGTAACAAAACTTGCATGGCAAGGAAAGTTCTCTTCGCCAATTACAAATCAATTAAAAGCTGGAGGGTCGAAAATACTGGATTGTGGTAACTTTTTTGTCTTGTAATAATGACTCCAGTCTCTAACTTATGAATAATTATTTCATACGTGGTCCAGGAATATGGGTAATCGAAATAGCCGAAACATACTCATTATGCACATTCAAAGGTGTTGATATTCTCCAGTCTATCCATTAAAGAACTACCAGAAAATGGTGAATTCATAAAAGCCAAATACTTGACGGACTGCCAAGTGAAAACAGCAAATACGATTTCGTGGTCATGCATTTTTTGAACGACTCCTTCACAATGCGACAATGGGAATTAAGTCATTAAGAAGTTCCTCGTGTTATGAAACCTGGAGTATGACTTGAGTAGATGGCGAATAATATACATTTTGAAAATCAAGGAGCAAATTGAAGCAAGCTTACCGTTTGATTTCTCTACAAATCAAGTGCATGCAACAAAATCCGATAATTTAAGAAATAATTATCGCCAATGCTGACCACAAATTATTCGAGCTAATCTTATTATCGTTATGCGGATGTGTTTTAACAATACATGTAATTAATTGTAACACAACAAGAGGACTAGTGATAGCCATAGGTATTAAAGCGCAAGCACAATCAAGAACGAAAAGCTGATGCATCCATTATACAAAAGGATTCGTAGAGCTACGGACTATTCTACTTTTGAGATAGATGTGTGAATGAGTGTATGAGGTTACTGTAAACGATACTCGCGCTACCTAATAATTATAATAGCGATAGGAATAACAATAATAAGAATAATAATTGTCATATTGCATCTAGATGAATACATTTCTTAGACACGCGCGCTGTCAGGTTTCTCACTTTCTAAATTTTAACCTTTTTCTCTTAATCATCCTAACAGTAATACGAGTGTGAGCAAGCAATATACGTATTTAGAAATTCAAATTCACACTAGTTTTTAGTCAATGCGTCATTAATTAATAGTTTAAAAGATATACGTAGCATGTAAAAATTAAAAGGCAATGCATATAATAAAGTTGAAACAAGGGCCTAATTCGTACTAACGCTAACGCTAATAAACAAATTAACGTTAATCGATAATCACTTTTTTATGTAGGTGATAGAATATTATTATCGTTACTATGAATAGAAATCGAAATTCAATAATGATGAATGCATAAATTAAGACATAAATTCAACACTAAATATAATACGACACCACCACTATAACAAATCACCAAACCACAGCCCTTCCCTTGGTTGTTTTCTCTGATCACCCAATATCTCCTGCGACGTTTTAGCAACTCTCAACAGCAAAGCCTCATTATACCATTTCGCCATAAACTGTAACCCAATTGGCAGTCCTTTTTCGTCGTAGCCGGCGGGCACATTGATTCCAGGAATTCCGGTCAAATTCGCCAATTGTATGTAACGCATACCATTGCCGGTGACATCCGTGTTTAGTTCGCCGTGAAGTAAGGAACGTGGATAAATTTGAGGTGCAGTGATGCTGGCGGTTGGTGTCAGGATTAAATCCACGCTATTTTCGAATAAATCTGATACGTAACGCATGCTTCGTGTTCTAACTTGTTGAGCTTGTACTAAAATAAATGTTATTTGAAATTCAATGAACGAATAATTTTTCTTATATTATGCATATAATTTCGGTAGGAAGAAAAATCAGATACTTACTGTAATCCTTTGAAAAGAAAATATGACGGATTAATAAGTGATTAGAATTCAGCGTTACATAATGATAATACATTTATTAACTTACAGAAGCAGTCAAATGGTCCAAAATACAATGAACAATACGATTTGTGTAACTTGTTTTAGTTCGATGTTCTTTAAATCGATTCAAACTAGAATGAATTTCCGACGTGACTAAAATTTGCAGCGCATTTCGCGCTTCGTCTAATTCTGGTATCTCAATTTCGACAAATTGAGCTCCTCGAAGTTTGAAAGCATCAATAAATTCATGCAATACAGTTGTTATAGCAGGATTCACCACTTGTCGATTCCACGCAGGGTATATACCGATCTTTAGATCGGAGAGTGTATGGGTCAAATAGAAACCGTAAAGAGTTGGTGAAGGTTGATGATAAGTAATTGGGTCCTAAATAAACAATTTAATTCTGAGCTTTGAAGCCATACGAATACTAGCATGAAAGAAATATACAAGGTAACTTTTTATATTCGAGAAATGAGAACCTCGGGATCTTTTCCTGCAATCGCGTAATAAGTTAAAGCCAAATCATCTGCACTTGAGGCGAGTGGTCCAGGTACCGAACACGTCCACGCCATTGGAACTGCGGAAAATAGATTAATTTATCATAAAAAGGTAAAACGTTAAATGAATTCTACTCACATTCTCCTGTCATAGAAACTCGTCCCGTTGTTGGCTTTAGACCATAAACCCCACAGAATGATGCCGGTACTCTTATTGATCCACTACCATCGCACCCGATAGCAATAGGGCAAAGTCCAGATGCTACAATTGCTGCACTACCACCACTAGATCCTCCACCATAGTGATTTGGATCGTAGGGATTTCTTGGTGTCTTTGCCTTCGGATTGTTTCCTTTTCATACAAAATAACATTGTGAGTTTTCTAGATACTAACAATGAGTCTGATTGAAATCAAACAATAAATTACCTGTAATGCTATTATAAATTAAAAAGGCAATTTCATTATTATATATGAGAGATTTAGTAATTTGCAATCTGACTTAATGGTAAACTCACTCCATTCCTAGTTCATGCATACTAGTTTTTCCAGCAATTATTGCACCTTGCTCTCTCAATCGATGAACAAGCGTTGCATCTCGTTGCGCTTTATTTCCACGATTAATAAAAACCGTTCCGACGCGTGTTTCAAACCCCTATTTGTTAAATGTATGATGAAGCAACATAGATAAACTTAGTTAGCTAATAAACAAACAAACCTTAACATCCATTTCATCTTTCACGCCAATAGGAACACCATCAAGTGGACCCAGTGATTTTTTTTGAGCATATCGAGCGGTGGATTCTTCCGCTTGTTTTAGAATTTCATCCTTTTCATATTGATAAAAACCTTCGATTGATGGTTCTGTGAGAGATGCACAAGTATGTGCAGCCTCAATTCTCTCAAGTAATCTTTCTGCCATCTAAGAAGAGTTTATGTTTATTTTTCAACCAAAAATCAATAAAAATTTCAATAATCAAACATACTTGTAAAGGAGTAATACAACCAGACAGATACGCTTTACGAAAATGCCATGCTGTCAAATATCCAGTGTTTCCAATAGATTCAGGGCCAATTCCTTTTTCATCAAAAATTTCCAATCCAACAACTGGGTGGTGCTATAAAGACCGCGATTAAATTGATTGTTAATGTTCAAGATTTGCACGTGACCTTAAAAAAAAGAGCAACCTCAAGTTTATTAAGCCCGAATTTTTCTTTTGGCAGTGGAAGCGGGATGCTAGTCAATGAATCTTCATATTTGAATTTTCGTAAATCGGCAAGACTCGAATCGTAAAAAAAATATTTGGATAACCCGGGAATCCATTCCACGAGAAACGCAAGGATCATGAGAGGATAGTAGCTAACATAGGGAGCTTTGGGATTTTTTGTTACCTTATATGTAGATTTTATTTTAGATTTTTAGATTTTTACGCACGTTTATAATAAACAATTCATCTATACAATTTTACCTCGACATTACCCGTCTTATTCGACATTGTTTCTGAACAAAAAGAAAGAGCAACGAGAAGTTAATGACAATGAGAGAATTGGCGTTAATTGAATTCAAAGTTTAGGATTATCGTTATCGTTATAACGATAACGATAAATAAATATCTCGTAATTGGTTGCGCAATTCTTTATAGAACATATCGATTCGCACAGTATCAAAAATCGGTTAATTAATTAAGCCGGTGTGTATTTAATTAAGAAATCGGTATTTTGAATTGACATTAATACCGACCCGAAATCTTGTTCAATAACGTTAATGCAAACAATTGGGATTGATTTATGTTTTATAATTATTTTTTCTTGTTCTGTTTCTTTAAATATTAAAAAGAATCGTAGTCTTTAACGTTAAAGAAACAGATTTTCCATAAATTTGATTTCACCTGTGTAATATAAGGATTTGGTGATTACAATAAATATTTTACTTATAAACACTATATACACACCCCTATACATGTAGTATATTCCCGGAAATTTCAAAAATGAATCTGTCACTTTGGAACCCGATATTTCAACATTCAGTGATCCCATTCGAACAAAGACATCATCATTAAATTCGCATAGTCGAAACAAATCTAATGGTGATATCTTTGTTCGAATGGGATCACTGGATGTTGAGATATCGGGTTCCAAAGTGATAGATTCATTTTTGAAATTTCCGGTAATATACTGTATGAATGTGTAAGTATTGCAGAAAGTGTTCAGTTCAGAATACACATGATTGTAGTAAATATATCAATTGTCAAAAAATGAGAACTGCTATGTATGTTTTGAATATTACAAAGTTGATTTATCTAGTGAAATGAAAATATCGACAGGCTAATAAAAGAATGCAATAATATTAATTACTATAAATATCTCTTTGAAAGATTTATCAATGTTGAATATCTTACAAAAAGAAATCTTGGTACATGTAATACTACATAATTCAAACCAAATTACATTAGAATTTATAAATGAGGTAAATTGAACACCTTTAAAGTGTAAGCTTATTGCTTTTCGTTTTTCAAATTAATTAACTTTTTCAAATTAAATTCAGATTGATCTAAATTGCAGTGTGAACTTATTAGTAATATTAGTTACTTTGAAATAGCCAAAAAATGAATACTTGATAGCAATGACTTGTGGATCTACATAAGTATATTAATTTCGACTACGAAAAAATGACTGGAAAAAATTTAATTATAATTCGGGTGATTATGTACGAAGTAGAGTGTCCAGTTTACTGCAATTGATTCTGCAAACTGAAAAACGTGCAATATCATTATGTTGATCAAATTTAAAATAAGTGATCAAATTTTTTAAAAAAACTTAATAAATTGCTGCATTTTTTTAAAGTTTTTAAAAATTTGATCACCCAATTTTTTTTGATAAATAAAAAATAAATTTTTTTGTAAATAATTAAAAATGAAAAATTTATTAATAAAAATAATTTAAATTACAAATTAAAATATAAAAAATTTAATTTTTTAATAGATTCTTTTGATAAGCCATGCCTTTCATCTAAAATATTTTTTTAATCACTAAATCTTCTTTCAACATCAACACCAGAAATAGAAAGTCAAAGCTATTTGTACTAAATTAGGCAAAGTTCTTTGTTTTTCTCTCCAATATTCATCTAAATCTAAATTATTATTTTGTTCTTTATTTAATTCACAATAAATACTCCATTTTATTATAATATTATCTGATAAATTTTAGAAATAAGAAATAATTTATAAGAAACAATATTATGTCTTTAATAGAAATAGAAATATAAAAGTTTTAATTGCTTCAAATAATTTAAATGTAAATATACTTATTAAATTTGTCAAGAAAAAGTTAAAATATTTAGAAAAAACTAATTTTAAATCATTTATATCTAAATTTGGATTATTTAATTTAGAATTTAAAGAGTGAATTATTAATACCATTTTGTAAAAAAGTATATATTTAATATAAATAAGAAATTATTAAAACAAAAGATTTTTTCTAATTTTAAAAAATTCTAAACCAATTAATAATTTATAAAAATTAAATATCAATATATATAAAAATATTATAAAAAAATATAAATAAAAATAATTATTTTTAAGTATTAAAATTTATAAACATTATTAAAATTTTTAAATATAAAACTTGCTTTTCTTGAAATATATTTACTAATTTTTTAAGAGAATTCTTAGTTTTATTTAATTAAATTTCTTTTTCAAAAAAAAGTTTTGAAATAAAATATAAGAATTTATTCAAATTACAAATTTAAGTCATAAATTTTATCTTGTTTTAACAAATAAAGAAAAATATGTAATTGTAAAGAAATATTTGAAAATAGAAAATTTATCTTTTTTCTTGTTCCAAAATAAAAAAAGTTTTAAAATTAGAAATAACTTGATTAAGTAAATCAAATTTTTTATGTTTTTTTTAATTAAATTAAAATATATATTAAATAGAAATTATAATATAATATAAAAAAATTTTTAAAAAATTTTATTATAATTTATATTATTAATAATAAAATAAAATTTATAAGAAATATTATATAAAAAAATTGTATAAAGAATAAATTGAAAAATTATATAATAATTAAAAATATTAAGAAAATATATTTTTATTAATTTTGTTTTATATTTATAACTAAATAAAATATTAATTATATTATGATTTCAAAAATTTGAAGTTTTATTTACAATAATAGAAAGATAAATTTTTAATAAATAATATTTTTTTAATTAATTAATATTCAAAATTATATTATTAGTTAAATTTAAATTAATATAATAATTAAAATTTATTATTAATTTAATAAATTTTTATCATTTTTATAATATTTGAAAAAAATAAATAAAAATTTCCTTTTTTTCAAATAAAATATCAGCAATAGCAAATTCATTTACTAAATTATAATTAATATTTTGCTTTTTTAAAGAAAAAAAGAAAAACCAATAATTTTTTAATTATAAATTTTGTTTTTTATTTTTATGATTTAAATAATTATCTAAAATAAATTTTTTATTATATATTTGTATAAAATATAATATAATTCATTGTTATTAATATAAAAATTTTTTTTAATATTTGAAATATTTGTTTAAAATAAATTCAAATATAGTTATTTTGTTTTTTAAATTTACTTAATTTTTAAATTTATTTAATTAAATATTAAATTCAATATTAAATTTAATATAATTTTAAATATTTTTATAATTAATTTGAATGAAAAGTTTCTTTACTTTTAATAAAAAAGTCATATAAATTAGAAAAGATAAATAAATTAATAAATTAATCAATATAAAAATAAATATTTAAGTTTGTGTTAATTTTGACAAAAATTGTTAAATAATTTTATTAGAAAATAAGAAAAGAAATTGAAAGAGTATATTTAAAAGATAATTAAACTAATAAGAGTTACTAACTAAGAATAAAAGATATTGATATTTCTATACTTATAGATATATATTCTAGTACTTTTAATATTAACAAGAAAATAAAATACTATATTCAAATTAAATATCTTTAATTAAAATTAAAATATTACAAATATTCAATTCAAAAAAATTATTTTATCTTTTCAAAGTTTAAAAATCTAATAAATAATTAAAAATTTAATTCTAAAAAAATCAATATTTAATTTTTTGTTCTCACTCAAAATTAATGAAAAATAACTTGAATAACAAAATTTGAAGTTTGATTAAACAAATTATTTTAGTCAGATAACTTTTTTTGACAAAATAAAGATAAGAATAAATATTAATAATACAATAATAAAATACAGTTAGTTAACTTGTTAAAATAAAAATAAAAATTTATTAATTTGTTTAAAGTATCAAAGTATAAAAGAGAGTTTTATTATAAGTTTATTTATTAATTATTAAATTAGCTTACAAACTTGAAATTGAATTGGAAGAAAAAATTAAACAATAAATAAAATATAAAAAAAAGAGAAATATCTAAGTCCTATACTAATTTTTATAGAAAATTATAATAATTCAAAAATATAATAATAAAATGAGAAAGTTATAAGAAAGTAAAAATCAAAAGAGAATAGAGAAAGTATAAAGTAATAAGAAAATAAATTATAAAGAAAATTTTGAAATACTAATTCTCTATACTTGCATTAAGCATTCTAGAACTAAGATAATATAATTAATAATAATAATATTAAAGACTCTTTTACTTTGTTCTTTTTACAAATAAGAAATATCAAAATATTAAATTCAAAAATAACAAAATCAAAAGAATAAAAATTAAAATACTTAATCAAAATTAATAATTTAATAATAGTGATTTGTTTAGCATAATATAATATAAAGTTTAAAGTTAATAATAATATTTTGTTTAATATGAAGCTGCTTATATACAAGCTTTGATATGTATAATTAAAAGTAAAAGAGATAAGATTTATTTGAAAGAAGATTTTTGTTAAGAAAAAATTTTATTTTTAATTTGTAATTAATTGAATTAGGACTTGAACAACATCTCTATTTATATATTTTTTGAAAATATAATTTCAAATATAATAACTAAAAATAAAATAATTTAATAAAACTAATAGAAAAGTAAAGTAAATAATAAAAAGTAATCAAAAAATAATGAAAATTAAAATAAAATAAAATTATAAAAAGTAATCAAAAATAATAAAATAATTTGAAAGATTTTTGCTATTATTCAAATATTTTTGAATGTTTCATGTTTTTAATTATTTTTGGAATTAACAATTTTTATATTACTATTATAATAATATATTAAAATAATACTCTTATTTATATAAAAATTTTTAATATATTTTAATATTATTTATATTATAAATATTATAAAAAAATAAATATTAATAGAGAAAATAATAAATTAAAAGTAAAAATAATAGAATAAAAAATAAAAAATGATAGGATAAAAATGAAAATGATAATACTAATTTAAAAATAATAATATTAATTTAAAAATAATAGTATTAATTTAAAAATAATAGTGCTAATTTGAAAATGGTAGTATTAATTTAAAAATAACAATATTAATTTGAAAATAATAGTACTAATTTGAAAGTAATAGTATTATATAATTAACTTTGATCAAATATTTTACTGGATTATTTATACTTAATATTATTGGATTATAAATATCTTATTACTTATTGAAAGAATCTAATTACATGAAATAAGTAAATAAACAAGCAAGTAAATAAATAAATAAGTAAATAAACAAGTAAATAAGCAAATAAGTAAATAAGCAAATAAATATTAGACCAATAGAATTAAAGTAAACTAGTAAACATGAATTTGTATAGCTAATGAAATATAATTTGAATTTGTATAAAAGCAATATGTATTATAATTATTAAGAATTAGATTAGAACAAGTTTTTGATAGTAATATTCTTAATTATCATCTTATAACTAGTTATTATATAATTTTAATCATTCATACAAGCAAAGTTTGTACTTATTGTAGAATAGGTAGTCAAGTGCAAATTCCTTTCTATACTCTTTGACAAAATATTCTTTTTTCTTGTATAATCACTTCAGTATTTTTATTATAAGTATTATACAGCTCTTAAATTAATATTATAGTAACTTAAGCATATTTACCAGAAGTACTATAAAAGTTATCAACTTAATACTAGATTATCTAAATATATTTATAACAAAATTATATTAAATAAAGAAACTATTATAATTTATAAATCTGTCTTTGAGATTATATTACTAATAATATATTACTCATAAACTCACCTTCAATATTGTATTGCTAATAATACATTATTTATCTTTAATCTTGTATTACTAATAATATAAATATTATAATCTTTATAACTTTGACTCTGAATTCTGAAAACTCTTTTTAGTAGTTAGATTATTACGTTAAAAGAATATAACTATTATCAATCTTTAAGTGATTTTGTTATTAGTACTTTTAGTACTTATTCACATTTAGTCTAATAGTTATAAAATATAATTGATACTTTGAATTATTATTAAGATATTCTTTGAATATTTCTTTAATATTTATAAATATCTTTGAGTATTTTGAAAATCAATCAACAAATAATAATAATACTAATTTTCTAATAATATAATATTTATATAATTAAATAAATAAAATATTTTATCAATTTAATATTTTTCTACTATTTTTACAGATTTTTATATTTTCTATTATTTTTGAAAAATTCTTTAATTAACAAATTTTTAAGAATTATAATATTTAATTTATTTTCAAAGATTTTTTCTAAATTTCTTGATTTTTTGATCTTTTATTTGTCAAGTTTAAGTAAAAGTTAAGAAATTTTGTTGTTGAATCTGAATTTTATTTTTAAATAATTTATATATATTTTTAGCAATTCTAAAGATTTTTCTCCAACTTAGATTTTAAAAGAAATAGTAAGTTCTTGTATTGTTATTATTAATTTATTTTATTTTTTTAATATATATTTATTTAAATTATTTCTCAAGTTGTAATTTCCAAGTTTTAGATTTGTAAGTTTTTTTTGAATATTTTTTCAAGAAACTTTTCTTTATTTTAATTTATTATAGAGAAAGATTTTTTTATTTTGTCAATTATTAGTTTATTTATTATAATAAGTAATTCAAATAGTTTTTTGTTTTTTTAAATTAATTAAGTCTTTTAACTTGATCTTATTGAATATAAGATTAAGTATAAGTATTAATTTATTAATAAATAGTATTTTAAAAGAGTAATAAAATTAACTATAGGTTCTTTAGCTTTTTCAACAGATAGTTCAAAGAATTTTGAATTATAAATCAGAAATTCATTAATTATATTAGAGTTTTGAGCTAATTTATTAGTAAATATAAAATATTAATCTTGAGTATTAATATTATTAATAGTTATTTTATAAATTATAAAGATCAAAATCATTTTGAAATTATAAAGTAATAATTTTTTTGATATAATTTTAATTTATTCTTTTATATAAGATAAATTCAAATAAATAAAGATATAATAAGAGAAAATAGAAAAAAAATAAGAATATGTAAAAAAAATAAGAATAAGTTAAGAAAATATAAATATTAAAGTTGAAATCAAAGAAAATAAAATAAAAAGATAATATTTTAAGATAAAATAGATAAAATATAAAGATAAAAAAAAGAGCAATATAAATAAGATAAAGTATAAAATATAATAATAAAAATATGTAAAAGATAAGATAAAAGGATAAAAAGATAAAATAAATAGATAAAATTTAAAATTAAAATTATAAGAAATCAGGAGTTAAATTAAATTTATAACTATATTGAATTCAAATAAGAATTATTTTTTTTAATTGATTATTATGAAATTTCTTTTTTATAATTTATAAGTTTTATTAGAAAATGTTATATATATATATAATCATTCTGAATATTATTATGATTAGAATTTATCATCATGCTTTACATATTATTTTATGTTATATAATAATACTTTATCTCTAATTTTATAGTATTCTACTTTAAATAATTATCATTATATTATTCTTTGAATTTTTCTTGTAATAGATGTATGTTAGTAATAGTATTATGAATTTAATTAAGTAAAGATTTCACTAATTTGTAAATTTGATTTAATAGTTATTCTTTAATTTTTATTAGTATTTCTAAATGTCGTGAATTATAATTTGATAAATAATCTTGCTTCTCATCTATAAGTTAAGAAAAATGATTTATTTGGTTATATTAGTTTGTAATGATCTATAAGCAAATAGTATTATAGGAATATTCAGATTCCAGTCTTCTTGAAAGTTTATATAGTATTTTTGTAGTGCTGAAGTTGATGTTTTATTGAATTGTTTAACAATTCTATTAGTTTATGAATGATATGGTGTAGAAAATTGATGTTGAATGTTAAATTTGCTGAGCAATTCTGCTATAATACTAATTGTAAATTCAGTTTCTTGATCAGACTGGATTATCTTTAGACATTCATGTCAACAAATAATTTCTTCAAATATAAATTTAGCAACTTTAATGACTTCTTTTGTACACCCAAAATTGGGATACAATGAGTATCCAATCAAATCACTTGTAAAAATATGTGTTGTTGAATTTAAGATATACATACAATGGCAGAAAAAACGAACCACCAAAAAAAATGGCAAAATAGAATACCTTGTCATTGAGAGCAGTGATGGTAAATTTTGAGGTCATTTGCCTTTTTTTCAAATGATCTTGGTCATTTCCAACTAAAATTTATAATAAAATTGAGATCATTTGAGATCATTTGGGATCATTTCAAAATCATTTACCATCACTGATTGAGGGAATATCGACAGGTAAAGGTAAGTCATTTGGTTCAATGATAACATATCTTCTAACATAAATGATGATTTTAGCGTTTCATTTAATATGATCGAGTTGGAAGGCAATTTTAAAGACGGTTTTTCTAATTAAGCTAAGTTGGCGGCTTCTAAAAATTTCTTGCATTACATATTGCCTAACCTTGTTTAATATTCCATAGACCCACCCCGCGCTTCTATGACCTTTTTAATCCTATTTGACATCGATCCGAACAACTTTGTACAATAATCGATATCTACGCTCTTCCACGCGATTTGTAGTTTTTTCCACAATTCGCTTTTGGTGGAAAGTAACTCAGGAAGTTGTCTCATGCGCGTATCGACTACGTTCGATAGGTTTTCGATTGGGTTTAGGTCGGGGGACTGGGGTGGCTAATCAAGCAAAGCAATGTTATTATCAGCGAACCATTTCTTTGCTTTTCCGGAGGTATGTTTTGGGTCATTATCTTGCTGAAAGTTAAACCCACCCACTATCCTCCAGCATTTTCTCCCAGATCACCCTTACGTCAATTTTTTTGCAAATCGCCAACGCCGTCAGCTGTCACGCAACCCCAAAACATAATCGAACTGTCATCGAATTTCACAGTTGGCGTGATATGTTGGTCTTTCAACGGTTCGCCTGGTTTCTTCCAACAATATTTTCGGCCGTCTGATCCAAAAATTTGGTACTTGCTTTCGTCCGAAAAATTACGCGTCGCCAATCGTTCGGTCGGCTAATTAGTTAGTCGTCCAACTTCGGTATTTCTTCGCCCACGCCAATCGTTGTTTTCTGTGTTTTTTGAAGGCTTTTTTCGCTTGATCCGCCGAAAGGTTAACCTCTAACTCATTTTTAAGCTCACATTGGACTTCAACGGCGGTGGTACATTTTCCGGAGTAGATTAATCGCAAAGCATTTCGTTCGTAGCGCGCTAAGAGGGTTAGTGGGCGACCGAGTTTTGGCTTGTCGTCAAAACTTCCGATCTCTTATTATGGTATATTCTTTGGACGGAAGCTAAACCCACTCTTTCTGATGCTGCAATTTCCCGGATCGAATATCTTTCCTGTCGGAGGGCGTGTATTCGGGCGCGTTTTTCTTGTAGAAATTCGAGGACTTAGAGGTAAAAATTCGATTAATATTTGTTGCGTGGGAAATGTATTTTATTTACAGTAAATGAGAATTCCAAAGCATTGTTACTTAGCTTTATAGCCTTCCATTCACTGGCATTTCGGTCATATTAAATGGGTGAGCAAAAAATTAATAAAAGAAAAAAATAACAAATAAAAAATGATTTCAAAAGTGCTCAAAAGAAAAAGAATTATTGATTTTAAGTTGTATGTGAAGATCCGAATATACTTGGTCTGGATGCATAGAAGTGATTGCTTTTTTTTTATGATTTTTTAGACTCTGCCCCGGGTATATGTGCATTACCACGAAAGTGGATGGATGCACTACCGTAAAGGTAGAGGTGGATACACTACCACAGAGGTGATTGCTTTTTATTTTTTTTTATGATTTTTTATGATTTTTTAGACTCTCTGCCCCGGAAAGAAATAATAATGAGACAAAATCAAAAGCAAAACGACTCCAGTTTTTACTTTAAAAAAAGAAGTAAAACTTTGAAGAAAGAAAAGCTAAGAAACAACTCGCAAAACATCTCAGCACTGAGTGTAAATAGTGCTAGCAAGAAAGTAGTGTGAATAGTATTAGCAAGAAAGAAGTGTGGATATACTACCATAAAGGTAATTACCTAGACGTCTTAAAAGCGAGAAAAGTAAGGAAAGAATAACGGGACAAAATTAGCGGCAAAATAACCACTCCAGTTTTACTTTGAAAGTAAAAAAAAAGTCAAAGAAACAACTCGCGAATAACACTAACAAGAAAGAAGTGTGGGAATAATTACTGTATACATGTAGATCGTTAACGTTAATAAATAATAACATAACCAACCAATCAGAATTAAACGTAAACTTATCCAAGCCACGTTTACATAATACCGATACATATCGATATCGTGTGTGTGATTTGTATTTTTGAACAAGGGTGATACACGTACGTATTAACATCGATATTTGATAGCCAATCATCTTGTTATAATTAATTTCTATCCCACAATTTTTGTCAAGTGAAACTCAAGTAATCCAAAATTTGATATATATATCAAATTCACGATATGATGATTGTACTAACACTTGCATTTCAGGCGGAAGCATCCCCCGCTGGTCGGGGGCTCTGAACAACCCACCTTCACGTTATGTAAGAGCTTGAAGGAAATGGCGTTGGGGGATCTTCGTGAGACTTTTGTGTCCTTTTTGCAATAAGGGTCGACAGTAATATAAAACTATTCAAATTAAAATTTTCTTTAATAAATATAATAATGAAACCAAAATTATTTCCGCTGTAATAATTACCACTATAAAAGAAAAATGAAACAAAGTGACCTTCGAGTCTGTCAGACAGTCAGTATGCTCAAAAAGCCAGTCGTTCTATCGAAATTTAAACAGTTTACGATGTTTTGGTGTGCACATCATGCAATTGATCTGTCAACTATCGTGTTCTATGATAACCAGTCCATGGAAAGAGTAGCTTGTTGGAGACCATTTCTGGTGTACAGGTACAGTACCCCCAAAAAGTAACGCCCGATTTGCATGTGTAACCAAATTTAAAAAAATCAATATACATCAAGTTTTCTCCCACTTTGATAAACAAACTTGACGTTCTGTTTTTACTTTTTACGATACGTTAACATTTTAATAATATCACTGTGAAATTGAAAAAGGGAAGATTCTGGCATATATAGAAACCATAAATGCTGCCCAAATCTCAAAAATGCTTGGACGTGACCCCACAACAATACGGCGCTTCATTAAGAAGTATAAAAAAACAGGAAAAAGTGAAAAC